CAAAAAGCTAAGGACACTAGCTTTAATGCTTTATGGCCTACTTAATATTAGAATTAAATCAACATGAATATATTACTTTAGGAAACTTGATTTAGTTTAAGACAAACATATTTTTCTTTTTCCGCGTTGCCCCAGATTTGGTTGAGACTTGAGAGTTTAACCCGGCCACCTCGAACATAATCCCCATCAAAGTTTTAATCAACTAATTATTTAAAATGTCTGATTCTTGATTGGTGTAGGTGGTTGATCACACAATCCCTCCCCGTTTCGCTTGAGCTCTCAAATGTAAGGGTGTCAATGGGTCGGTTTTGAAAAATAAATTTGGACAGATTGGATGGACCAATAAGATTTATCTGATTGGATCAATTCGGTCCAAAATATTTATTAGATTGGATTGGACCTGATTCATCTATAATAAATTTATATAAGATAAGAATATATGTGTCAATGGACTGGGTTTGAGTTGAAACCAATCTAAATCGAAATGAATTTGAACAGAGATCCAAACATTAAATCGGACTGGTCCAAATTGGTCCAAAACATTCATTGGATTGGATTGGACCTGGTCCATTTATAATGGACTCACATTGGACTGGATCGGATTGGACCAAATCCAATCCAATAGACACCCCTACTCAAAGGAATGGATCGAATGGAAATGGATCAAGTCTAAGACTGCATTTGGCATTCTTTATTTTAAGGATTTATCTCCCTTTTGTAATTAAAAACTCAGTGTTCATAAAGGTATTTTAACAATAAAAAAGATATAAGTCCTTAAATTAAAATAAAGAATACCAAATGTAGCCTAAGTCAAGGTCAACCCGAGCCCAGCCTTACATAAACTAGACTAGTCTCAAAACAATGGGGCCAATCGGATGTGCAAGCGATAGAAACTCTTCTTGGTTAATGGTTAATACTTATGATGGTGTAATCAATGATTTAATATATTGATACAATATGCCTCGTATACGATATGTCCGATACGGGATGTATCGTATTGTATGGGATACGCTACAATTAAATCCGTATCCCCTAAATCACATGTATTGGAACGATACACATCAACGTGTTTTTTCGCGCATTTATTTGTAAAAAAATGTGACTAAATTGCTTCAAACACAAAATCACTTAGCATTGAAGCCTTATCCATGCCCTTGATCCACTAGGCCACCTTTCATCTTATGAAAATAAATGAAATAAAATAATAGTTTTTCAATTCTTGTGTCCACATGTAATGCAGACAAATAAAAAACAATTTTCAAAATAATATTTTATAAATTAATAGAATAAATAATTTCTTAAACCCATATTTATATAAAAAATTGTTTAATCTCAAGAAACTTATATGAATAAAGATATTAATAATAGAATAATTATTTTTGCACTTAATATTTATAAATTTGAACATGATATGTATCTTAAAATTTTATAAATTATTGATTAATATTTTAATTTGAACTAAGTAAAAGCATATATATATTATTTACATAAACCTCAAGAATATAATATAAATTGAATTTGTCAAATCCACTAATCTACATTTATATCAAAAAGTGATTTTTTATCTCAAAACATATGGAAATAAAAATATAATGGAATAATTATTTTAGTAGTTAAAAATTATGAACTTGCATATGATGTATATCCTAGAAAATTTAATATATTTGATATATTTTAAGTTAATATTATATATTTTTATAAATTTTTAATTAATATTTTAATTACATTTTATAGTAGCATGTCTATTATTTACAAAAATAAAAATGTTGTTAACTAAACATTTGAGAATTAATTTTTAGTTGACTTTCAATTAATATTAAAAATAAAAAATAGAAAAATAGAAAATAATCAATATAATAGTTGCATTTTTTTTGTGCCTTGAAATTCAGTAGAAAATAACATAATAATAGCTTTATGCATGTATTAATTTGTAAATATATATATATATATATAATATGTTTTAGGATTCTTGATTGATACATTATCAATAAAATTTTATGATTTATATGCATCCCGCTATATTAATTATAATATATTTCTTTACATATGCCTTTAGAATATTTTATACATTAATTATGATTATTTTAATCTTAAAAATAATTTTATTAATATATTTATAAAATTTATATGCATTTTTCAATGCATTTATATTTTTTGTCCTTATTCATAGGTTTCCAAAACGTATCTATATCTATATCCCATTCGTCTAATATAATATCGGATATGATACTTAATGAGTTCATGGACCAAACGTAGGTAGTAGGTACTAGGTACCTTCTCCATCAATCAAAGTAAATATTGAACAAGGAAACAGAAACCCCATTCAAAGTTCAAACTATTCAAACTTTTTGGGCCTATCCACAAGATGTTTACCGTGTAAATAATATTCAAAGCCCATATCCACTGCCACGATCTGATCCATCTTGTGCGAGATTTGCTTGTCTTACCCACTCTCCATGACTTGTTTATGGACTTGAAGACAAAACCAAACACTTCCAATGGATAAAGTTTGTAGTTCGTTAGCATAAAGGTTCACATGACAGGTTGGCTTTGCGGGAAAAAGAAAAACAAAAGAAAAATTGGGAGAAGAATCCATGTTAACTTGTGATACATCAGACGGTTCGTAGTTAAAAGAGGGAGGGGGCAAAGGTCAATAGGTGTGGCTCGATTATCCATGTGTTTAAAATATTGAAGTGATCCATGATAGAATGATTGATGCCAAACAAGAACCTTGACTCATACATAGGCCTGCCTAGATACGGCAATGGGTTGATTTTGGCCATTAGATCATATATTAAAGACGTTTAGTTCATTAGAAGCGAAAGCTCCTAACGAGTAATGACGATAACCCTAAGGTGTTCACGGTTTGGTTAACTAAATCGTGAGCTAATTTTTTAAAACGAATTGAGATTTTCTGATTTTGGAAAATTAGTAATCGAAACTGAATAGAAGCTGATGGATAATTGACCGATTCAATTAATTATCGGTGTGATTTGTTGATTTTTTGATTTTTTATTATTTATAATATTTGTTATAAAAAACTATATATATATATATATATAATACTAGAAATATATATATATATATATATATATATATATATATATATATATATATATAT